ACAATAAGAATTAAAGTGCTATGTAGAAAGAAAGATATGTGCATGAGATATACATGAGATATATACATGAGAATAAGAATTATGAGTGCTACGTAGAAAGATATATACATGAGTGCAGGTGGTGATCAGTGCCAAACATGAAATGATGCAGTGACACAGCGTAGGGTCATGTGTTAGTGGCGGGGACAGTCATGTGGTTATTGTTCATGTGTCCAACAGCAGAGGGGAAGAAACTGTTCTTATGGCGAGAGGTTCTGGTGCGAATGGACCGGAGCCTCCTGCCTGAGGGGAGCAGGTCAAACAGACTGTGTCCAGGGTGAGAAGGGTCAGCTGAGATCCGAGCTGCACGCCGCAGTGTCCTGGAGGTGTACAGGTCCTGCAGAGATGGGAGTCTGCAGCCAATCACCTTCTCAGCAGAGCGCACAACACGCTGCAGTCTCTGTTTGTCCCTGATAGTGGCTCCAGCGTACCACACGGTGATGGAGGAGGTGAGGATGGACTCGATGATTGCAGTGTAGAATCTGCATCATCGTCCGTGTTGGCAGGTTGAATTTCTTCAGCTGCCTCAGGAAGTACATCCTCTGCTGGGCTTTCTTGATGACGGAGGTGATGGTGGGCTCCCACTTCAGGTCCTGGGTGATGGTGGTACCCAGGAAGCGGAATGAGTCCACAGAGGTGATGGGGTGTCAGTCAGGATGATGGGGGGGAGTGGGGCTGTGTGCTTCCTGAAGTCCACAATAATCTCCACTGTCTTCTGGGCATTCAGCACCAGGTTGTTGTGGCTGCACCAGGACACCAGACGTTCAACCTCCCTCCTGTAGGCAGACTCATCCCCGTCCGAGATGAGTCCAATAACGGTGGTGTCATCTGCAAACTTGATTAGCTTGACAGACTGGTGGGTGGAGGTGCAGCAGTTGGTGTACAGGGAGAAGAGCAGAGGAGAAAGAACACAGCCCTGAGGGGAGCCGGTGCTGATGGTCCGGGAGTCCGAGACATTCTTTCCCAGCCTCACATGCTGCTTCCTGTCCGTCAGGAAGTCAGTGATCCACCGGCAGATGGGATCAGGCACATTCATCTGGGAAAGCTTGCCTCGGAGATGGTCTGGAAGGATGGTGTTGAAGGCAGAGCTGAAGTCCACAAACAGGATCCTGGCGTAGGTTCCTGGGGAGTCCAGATGCTGCAGGATGAAGTGTAGGGCCATGTTGATGGCGTCGTCTACAGACCTGTTGGCTCTGTATGCAAACTGCAGGGGGTCCAGGAGGGGGGCCGTGAGGGTCTTGAGATGGGAGAGAACTAGGCGCTCAAATGACTTCATGACCACAGATGTCAGAGCCACGGGTCTGTAGTCATTTAGTCCAGTGATCCTAGGTTTCTTGGGGAAGGGATTATGGTAGAGGACTTGAAGCAGGCAGGCACATGACATGCCTGCAGTGAGGAGTTGAAGATGCCAGAAAACACTGGGGCCAGCTCGTTTGCACAGTGTCTGAGGGTGGCAGGAGACACGCCGTCTGGGCCGGGAGCTTTCCGAGCATTCAGACTCTTAAACTGCTTCCTCACATCTGCTTCATGAATATGAAGAGTTGTGGTGGGAGGAGGTGGTGTGAAATCCTCTTTTGTGTGGGGTGAGGAGGCGGGTGTTGTAGGTGAACAGTTTGAAGGTGGTGATGGCTCTATGGAGGGGGGAGAGGTGGGGGAATGAGTGTCCAAAGTGCCTCTATTGTTGGGGTCGTTGGAGGTGTGAAGGCTGCCTGATGGCTCGTCAAAACGACAGTAGAAGTCGTTAAGGGTGTTGGCTAAGAGCAAGTCGTCAGTGGAGTGGGGGGTTTTAGGCTTGTAGTTGGTGATATTCCTAAAACCTTTCCACACAGAGGCCGAGTCATTCTCTGAGATCTGCTGCTGCATCTTCTCAGAGTGCTGATGTTTAGCAATGTCCACTTCTTTAGTGAACCTGTACTTGGCCTCTCTGTAGCAGTCCCTGTCTCCGCTTCTGAACGCCTTTCTCTTTTCCAGCCACAGCTTTTTGAGTTTAGGAGTAAACCAGGGTTTGTCATTGTTATAACTCACCCTGGTGCGTGATGGCACAATGCTGTCCTCACAGAAGTGGATATAGGAGGTGACAGTGTCCGTAAACTCGTCCAAGCTGTTAGAAGCAGCCTTCATTGTGTCCCAGTCTGTGGTCTCCAAACACGTGCGAAGCTCCTCCACAGCCTCGTTGCTCCACAGTTTTTTAGTCCTCACGACAGGTTTGGAGAGCTTCAGCCTCTGTCTGTACGCGGGGATCAGGTGGATCATGACGTGATCAGAAAGTCCGAGTGAAGCGCGGGGCACCGCGCGATAGGCCCCGTGACTTCTTCAGTCTCAGCTGAAGGCAGGTTTCCCCAACCTTATAAACAGTGCTATTGCACAAACTAGCCCACTAAACAATGAACTGTGAGGTCAGTTCCTTGATCATTACTGAGTCACTTGGATGAGTGACCAAACATTTCTCCCACTACATCCGCTACATCCAGATAAACTACATCCAGATAAACAGAATCAACTTTTGGGATTCACTTACCTGGATGACTGAGCATGCATCAAGACATCCCATTGAGGAGGTTCAGGCCTATGCAGAACAGTACTGGGGACAGAGCATCTCCTTGGTAGATCCCGCAATTGATGGTGACTTGTGCTATTTGCTTTAAGTTGGCCTTTAGTGTTGTTTTCAACATCCCCATTGAGTTCATGATGAAGGCTCTTAGGCTCCTGTTGATTTTATACAATTGTAGACATTCCAGTCTCCAGCTGTGGGGCATCGAGTCATAGGCCTTCTTGTAATCAATCCAGGCAGTGCACAGGTTGGTCAGCCTAGTCTTGCAGTCTTGGGCAACTGCTCTGTCTACCAGTAGCTGGTGTTTTGCTCCTCTGGTATTCTTGCCAATCCCTTTCTGTGCCCCGCTCATGTATTGAGCCATGTGCCTGCTCATCTTAGCTGCTATGATGCCAGCAGCCATGTGGTAGCGAGGCAGGTTATTGGCTGGTAGTTGGATGGGACTGGTCCCTTCTGGGGAACCTTGGGGATCAGGACTGTCCGTCCTTCAGTGGTTCATTTATGCTGCCAGACACTCATGAAGTGCAGTCAGCTCTTCAGCCAGAAGGCATAAACCATGTCGGGGCCTGGTGCTGACCAACTCTTCATACTGGAGACCCTTTTTTGAATGTCTGCTACAGTGATGGTTACTGGATCCTGTTCAGGGAGGTTGCTGTGGTCTTCACTTAGATCCACTAGCTACTGAGCATTGACATTTTGGTTGTGTATTTCTCCCATATGTTCTTCCAGTATTGTTCCATCTCCAGCCTTGGTGGTGTTCTCACATTGTTCTCCTGCCACTAAGAGTACCTCTTGGCTGGTTCTGAGAGAACAGCTGGTTTATTTTCCTGCCTATCTCCCTGTTATACCATACTTAGGCTTACTTCCTTCCGTGCTACCTTGATCTTGGCCTCTAGTCTTCTTTTCCATGGAGAGTACTGCTCCTTGTAGCTGTTCAACTTATAGCCAAGCATCTCACTGATCACTGCTGACTGCTCCGATTACCATTGGGACCACTGTTACAATCACACTCCTCATCGTCTTGAGCTCTTCTGTTAGCCCTTGGTATTTCTCCTGCTTCTTGTGTTCCTTTTTCCTGATGTTGCTCTCATTCTGTATTGTGTCTCCCATTTTGACCTCGGGATTTCCAGGTCATACTCGGCACAGATGTTTCTGTACACTATGCCGGCCACTTGGTTATGGCGTTCCATGTATGCCATGCCTGCTAGGGCTAGCAACTTGCACCCTGCTGTTATGCGCTGGCCCAGAACAGTTTCAGCTCTGGTTCCAGATGTCAGCCCAATGTGTACCTTAATCAAGCCATGTAATAACAACATGTGTCGGAACATAACAGTGCAGAAGTAACATGACGAAACTCTGTTCAGACAGTGAATGGACTGATTCTTATATAGCGCTTTTCTACTCTCCCAGATTACTCAAACTGCTCTATACAACATGGCACATTCACCCAATCGCACACTTTCTCTAAACTGACTGCTTCCTAACTACATTCATACACATTCACACTCTTGACATGCAGACTGGAGGAGCCAGGTATTATAGAGAGCCACATGAACTTCTTATTCAATAGGTTTACCCTTTACATTCTATACTCCTTGTATGCTTGACATGCCACTCTAATCTGCCAGCTCGATATCTCACAGGTGTTTTATTCAAATATATGTGTAGACCTCCACCCAACCTGTCAAAGCCGCATCTTGAAATCGGTTGAGGGCTACCATATGCAGGTATATAGTATAATGACCACAATCCTCACGCCATTTATGCGCTCCAGATCGCGTGAGACGTAATCATGACGTAAAAACTCGGAGACATAAATCTAGTGCCAGTTCATTCGACCGAGAACGCTGGCTCCAGACGACTCGTTTGTGTTGACTAGTAACTATCCCTTGCGTGCATCCAGCGATGGTAGTCCGTGAGAGTAAATACGTGCCTCGCCATTTGATATGCTTGGGCCATACGGGCCGACCTCTGGCATTTTTACGTAATTGAGCCTGGGCACACATTAATACCAAACCACAATCGGGCCAGATGATGACGCATACTCACATCACAACTATGTGAAGTTTCAGGTCAATATATAGCTCAGCGGTATCACAGGATCGGGCCACCGTTTCTATGAGCCTGGACATAAACCAAACCACAATCAGGCCAGATGTGGCATGCCATCACATAAACAGCGCCATCTATGCCAGGCCTGGCCCATATCTGGATGATATACCACTTACCACACCAGAAGTCAGCCAGCAGTGCTGGCTTGATACCAGATCCGGGCCAGACCCGTCTGCTATGTGGGTATATATATATCAGTCAGCTCTTGGCTGACTCATGAAATGAATGGATGGACAAACACATACATAATAAAAGAAACATAAAAGACTCTATGAATGTTCTAAATGAGCTGTCTCACCACTGTATGGCCCCTCTTTGTCCTTCCGGCTCTTTGTTAGGGAGCAGTATGGACGTCGCTCTTTCACTTCCATAATGCTTCTTCTTATGCTGCTGGCAAACATACAGGCATACTGCTGTACAGCTGCATAGACAGAAAGATAAACAAAAAGAGAGAGAAAGACAAAAACAAAGAAGAAAAAATGAGTGAGAGAGAGCTAGACAAAGAGTGAAGGGTTGTTGGTCCACCTACAATCACACATAGGGACAAAAAAGTGGTAATATGTTCCAATGGTGCAATCCTGCAGTTACTGTTAAAGTTAAACATGACAGTGTAACCTGCCAGAATGTGATCTTGACTTCATTACAAAAATCACAACCTGCATTCTCTTTTATTGTGTCCTTATTTGTAACCTGCACAAATCTCTGACACGCAAAAGCAGCAGGCTTAACTGGTGTGCTTACAGATAAAGATATATACCAAAAGGCACATTCTGTGACTCATGCAAAACTTCTGTGTTGACACAAACTCACACACATAAAGACACTGTAAATATGCAAAGTATAGTACAGTATATTGCACAGAAAAAAATCGCATTTATTTCATGAGTAGTTACACAAAATATCTGCAGCTGTTTGATTGTTTTTTTTTATTAAGTTTTCTTTTATTCTTTTGATGTAGTTTTAAAAATTTAGATAAAAAGGAAAAAATACGCAAATTTTTTCATTACAATGGAATTCCCTAAAATACTTTCAGCGTAACCCACGTGTATCCAAAGCTCTTATAACATCTGCTTAATGTCTCTAAAATCAGTACTGAAACCATAAAGTCAAAGTCTGCTCAAAGTCAGCTTTATTGTCAAAAACCATATGCACAGATCATACACAGGCATTTGAAGTTGCAAAGCTCCCATGGCCCTCAGTGTACACTAAAACAATATAAAGATAAAAAGAGGGAAGAGTTGAATGCAGGTCTGGAGTTCCTGTGTGTGAGAGCAGGGAATGAATTCAGCATCCTGACAGGCTGATGGATGAAGCTGTCTCTCAGTCTGCTGGTCTAGAGAGGCTCTTCAGTCTCCTTCCCGAAGAAGCTGTTGGAGGGATGAGTGGAGTCACCTGTAATGCTGAGAGCTTTCTGGATGAGGCGGGTGCAGTAGAAGGTGCTCATAATGGGTGTTGAGGCTCTTGCTCTTCTCAGTCAGCAGAGGAAGTAGAGTCGCTGTTGGGCTTTTCTGACCAGTGATGCTGTGTTTTTTAACCAGGAGAGATCTTCTGAGATGTGCTCACCCAAGAACTTGGTGCTGTTTACCCTCTCCACATCAGCACTGTTGATAGTTAGTGGGGTGTGCAGGGTGTGAGTTCTCCTGAAGTCTATGATGTTCTCCTCCTTCTTCACATTCAGGGACAGGTTGTTGTTGCTGCTGTGACCTACCACAGTTGTTTCGTCTGCAAACTCGATGAAAAGGTTGGAGCTGTGTGATGGTGTGCAGTCGTGGGTCAGCAGAGTGAAGAGACGGGGGCTCAGCACACATCCTTGGGGAGCCCCTGTATTCAGTGTTCTTCTGTTGCAGGTGTTGTTGCCAACGCATACACAGTGAGGTGCTGATCCCCAGCAGATCCATTTTGTGAATGAGTTGCTGGGGAATGATCGTGTTGAATGCTGAACTGAAGTCTATGAACAGCATTCTGAGTCTCTAGTGTCCAGATATGTGAGGGCTGAGTGAAGGGCAGTTGAGATTCCATCATCGGTCAAGCAGTTTGACCGGTATGTGAACTGAAATGGATCCAGTTTGAAGAAATGTTTTAAATGGATGCATGACTAACTGTTCAAAGCACTTGAGGGTGAGTGCGACCGGATGGCAGTTCTTAAAGCAGGAGGGAGGAGACCTCCTCGGTACAGGAATGATGGTGGAGGCTTTGAGGCATGTGGGAACGACAGCCTGGCTCAGTGATGTATTAAAGATGTCTGTGAAGACATCTGTGAGTTCTGCAGCACAGTCCCTCTGTGCTCGTCAGGGATGTTATCAGGGTCCTGGGGCTTTGCGTGTATTGATCCTTTCAAAGGATCTCCACACACTGTCTGGGGATAGTCTCACCACCTGGTCGTTGGGGGATGGGGTGGAGTGGGGGGTTTTCTGTGCGGGGGTGTATTTTTGTGCCTCAAAGTGAGTGAAGAATTCGTTTAGCTTAAAGAGGTGGACTGACAGCGGTCTGCGCAGTGGGCTTGTAGTCTGTGATGGTCTGTACCCCTTGCCACAACCTCCGAGTATCTCTGCTGTCACTGAAGCTTGGAGAAATCCTCCTGGAGTACACTGGTCCCTCACTATAACGCGGTTCACATTTCACGCCCTCGCTGTTTTGCTGATGTTTTTTTTGTGCAATTTTGCATGTTTTTTTTTCTTACAGCGCATTGTGTTCTGTGTCCTGATTGGCTGTAGAGCATTGTCAATCAATCTCCTGCATGCTGTGTCTCCTGTACAGAATGCGTTCAGCTTGCCAAATTTACATAATTCTTCGATCCTAGCAGTGTGACTCTGAAGTGCTGTACTCTATGCTTGTAAGTTTTCTCCCCATCAAACACAACAATGTCGATGAAACGTTCTGCACCATCAAAGGCACCTGTGGTATCCCAAAAGGCAGAGGAAGATGCTAACCATCGCACAAAAAGTTGGACTTCTGAAATACTGAAGGAAGGTAGAAGTTACCGTATTTTTTGGACCATAAGGCACACCGGATTATAAGGGGCATAAAGTGAAATAAAACAGTCAGATAAGTCAAACTTTACTCAACTCATTCTTCTTGCTTCCTCTACTTCCGTACCATTGATTCATTAATGTTGAATTCTCTCGCAGCTGCTCGATTCCCATGTTCTGGACCTGAAAACAGGGTTTGATCTTTGGTTTCATTCTATAATACTGGACTGATTTTTCTACGAAGGTTTGAACTTTGAATGTGTTTAAACAAGAGAGAAAAGTGTGAAATGTTCATGCCTGTCTGAGGAAAGAGTATAAAGTGTGTAGTGAGGGGTTTTACAGCCTTAAAACATCAATAATAATAATAAAAAAATAAAGTTAGCTACTTCGCGGATTTCACCTATTGCGGGTTATTTTTAGAACGTAACTCCTGCGATAAACGAGGGACCACTGTACTGCCTTTTCGCCTCTCTGGTGCCACGTGACAGGTTTGCCCGTGCTGTTTCTAGGCTCACCTCATCTCCAGCTCTGAAGGCTGCATTTCTCACCCTCAGGAGCTGTAGACCTCCCCTGTGACCCATGGTTTCTCATTAGCCCGGACAGTGATAATCCTGGTCTCTGTGACATCATTGATGCACTTTGATCAGCGGTCTATGGCTATGGTCAGATTTTAAAAATCCTTGAACATAGACATGAAACAAAAAGCACAGCAAAGCTTGGACTAATGACACTGAGGGGCAACACGCCTTACATTAAACCAGCTCATGAAAAGGTTTTCTTAGAGAGTTATGCCCACCTAAGTTCACCACCCACCGACAGATGAGCAGTTGTAGAGCAGCCAACTTCCTCAGCCCTTCTGGGAGGAATCTTTGATGATTGCAGCCTTATCACAGTACCACATCAAAGTCCTTACAAGCATCCTGTTTGGATCAGAAACAAAACTGATCATGACATCATGCTTCCTGGCAACTTCATCCTTGCTGAACTACACACTGCAGACCAAGTTTTTGAAACTCAAATCGCGTCGAGTGCAAACTCTGCGGGTTGTTGTAGCCTGTCTGCAGACTCATGTTCATCACCCAAGGACCAGTTGACCTTTGATTTTGGTGATTCACCTCTGCCCGAGGAAGTCAGGTCACACAGAGTCTTAGTGGCTACAGTGATGTTTTTGCATGCCACGATCTCGACTTTGGCCGCGCCACTAAAGTTAAGCTTAAGATCAAGCTTAAAGAAGAAACGCCTATAAAACAGAGATTGCAGCCTATTCATCCAAATGACTACGAAGCAGTCAGGAAACACCTTAAAACGCTTCTTGATGCTGGGATAATAAGACAATCAGAATCTCCCTTCTCATTCCCCATCGTTGTGGTCAAGAAAAAGACTGTTGACGTCTCTGTCTGGATTACCGTAAACGTAATGTGCAAACAGTAAAAGACGCTTATGCATTGCCAAACTCCGAGGAGACCTTTTTCTATCTGGTTCAAACTGGTTCTCATGACAGCTACTACCAGATAGAGATGGAGGAGGAGGATAAAGCCAAAACAGCCTTTGTATGCCCACTGGGGTTTTATGAGTTCAATCGAATGCCCCAAGCCATCACAAATGCACCTTTCAGAGGTTAATGGACAGGTGAGACACTAATCTCAAGGAGGTACTCGTCTTCCTAGACGATTTGATTGTTTTCTCAGACTCCCTCGAGCAACATGAACAGAGGCTAAAGCATGTTTTGGACCGTCTTCCTGAATATGGTTTAAAGTTGTCCCCCCAAAAATGTTGCTTTTTGCAGACATTGGTTAAATATTTAGACCATATTGTCTCCAAAAATGGTGTACAGACAGACCCTGAAAAGGTTGCTGCCATTAAGGCCTGGCTAGTGCCACAGAATTCAAAACAGTTTAAGTCATTTTTAGGGTTCACAGGCTATTATTGCCGATTTGTTAAGGATTATTCAAAGATAGGCCCTTAAAAGACCTCACATGTGGCTATCCACCTCTCCGAAAAGGCCAGAAACAAACAGGCACTTCCAAATATTTCAGACCTCGAGAACCCTTTGCAGATAGATGGACTCCTGTTTGTCAGCCAGCCTTTGAATGCATTAAGGAGAAGTTAAAATCATCCCCTGTATTGGGTTTTGCAGATCCAAAGCCTCAATATTTTCTGCACACTGACGCTAGTACTACAGGCCTCGGCGCCGCTCTTTATCAGGAGCAGGATGATAAAATGCGTGTCACTGCCTATGCTAGCAGAAGACTGACTGACCAAGCGAGACCAGATATCCAGCTCATAAGCTAGAATTTCTAGCTCTGAAATGGTCCATTGTCGAAAAATTCCATGATTACCTTTATGGTAACGAGTTCATGGTTGTAACGGCTAACAAACCGCTTACATATATTCTGACCACGGCAAAACTTGCCGTAGTGAGCTATCGCTGGTTAGCAGCGTTGTCTACCTT